TTCAAAATGTTTTTACTTTTTAACTGCCTAGCAGTTGATTTAAAAATGAGAAAAGCTGTTCGCAAAAGGAACGTTAAAGTATTGTGTTTGTGCTGTCGCCAACAACAGATATTTTTTTTGGACGCATAGGGAACAACTCTGTCAGTCACATTTTAACTTTTAGAATTAATAAATGCATAAAGGTTTAAATAGGTACCCTAAGTACTAAGTATTAGCCTAACTACTAGAATTAGTTCTTTCCGAATTAGCTTTCTGAATTTAAAAAAATAGTTTGAATTGATTTTGAATATTGATAAGAATTGATTCTGCATAGAATGGTGATAAAAAACAACCTATTATAGGTTGTTATATATCATTCTATACCATTCTATGCAGAATAAGAATAAATAAAAAGTTATAAATAGTAATAAATAAATATAAATAAATAAAAAGTTGTTGGAAGATTCCCAATACAAGAGATGATATTAATTTTCTATTTATCAAATTTTCAAAACTATTTCTATAAAAAATTGTTGTACTTCTTTAGCATTTTTTTTTTCAGTTGAATAAAAACACCATTTTTTGTATGAAGAAACATTTTAAAAATGAATAGCAAAAAATAAAATAAAAAGAAAAAAGAAACATAGCAACAACTAAAAAAAGAATACCATCAGCTAAAAAAATACAACAAATAAATCATGCTAAAAATATTGGTTATTTGTGTAAGATATATATAAAAAAACAAGCATTACCCAATTGATCTTTTTCTGGGTATAGTGCCTTTTTTTTAACTACATGATGCCTAATTGGCTGCTTGACATCTGTTTCTAAGGATATACTTAGAATAATTCATTTACTAAGTACTTGGTCATTAGTGTAAAATATGTTAGGTCGAATGTACTTTGTCTTTTTATGTTAATTTATGTTAAAAACTTTTTATGTTAATTTATGTTAAAAACTTTTTATGTTAATTTATGTTAAAAACTTTTTATGTTAATTTATGTTAAAAACTTTTTATGTTAATTTATGTTAAAAACTTTTTATGTTAATTTATGTTAAAAACTTTTTATGTTAATTTATGTTAAAAACTTTTTATGTTAATTTATGTTAAAAACTTTTTATGTTAATTTATGTTAAAAACTTTTTATGTTAATTTATGTTAAAAACTTTTTATGTTAGTAGTATAGGACTAAGCTTAAATAACTTCTTCAAGGAAATTTCAAAATGTTTATAAATTTTAGTTTTATTAAAGTTAAAAATTCTTTTTTAAAAAAAAAAAAAAAAAAATCTCATTTAGGCGCGTAATGCCAATATTTTAGGGAAGCAAAGTACTGTTCTATGACATAAGTGTGAACATACAAAAGTTTGGGATTTATTACCTGGAAATTGCGTAACAAAAATACCGAAAATACCTGGATCCACTTCTAAAAATTGTTGAAAAGGTTTAGCTTAATTAAGTTACAAGTTTGTACTTTTTTTTCTTCAAGAAATTAAATGAATCCAAATGCATATCTGCGATTAAAACAACTATGCTGATTTGATATATTATTTAGTTGCCAAGTTAGGAGTGATGTTTTAGTTGCCAAGTTTTCAACAAAACAAAAAGATTACTTTTTTAAAAAAAAGTTTAGATTTTCAATAGTTGACTTTACCTAATGCTATATATAGAATTTAAACTAATTATAAAATAAAATATTCATCCCCATAATTATTGTCATATCAAATTACCACGATTTTTTTAATTTGAAATAAAACATTAGTAGATGATGAACTTTTCTTGCTCACGTCAAATTTTTAAAATATTTTTTTTATAATTTATTTATAATCGTATAACATATACTGTTACAAGTGCAGATATCCGTTATATACAACCGACTAAACTAAAGTAAAGTGAAATATTTTTCAAGAATTTAATTCATTTATTCTTATTAACATTACTAACATTTTTATTCTTATTCATGTTAACATGAACTTAACAAAAAACCTAATTCTATAAAGTTATTTTTACTTAGTATTTATTTTGTAATTGACATCACTAAATTCGAGTATATTAATGTCAGTAATATATTAAAAAAAACTCCTTAAAGTAACTTGAATGTAAAACAAAGACTTTTTACTAGTTCAAAAATATAAAAATTCAATAACTCAACATAACTACTCAACTTTAATCATCAAAATCTCAAACACACAATTTAAAAGAAAAATAACTTTATATCATTGAAAACTATTTGTGGTGAAACAACACAACTTAAAAAGTTATAAGAGAACAAAGAAAAAATGAAACGACAATCTGGTAAATTTGCGTGTTTTTGATAAGAATAATATACTTTTTTTTTAAATTTATTATAACATATCATATGGTATTGGACTGCAAAGAAAAATAAGATCTAGAAAAGTGAAAAAAGTAACATTACGTTTTTATTATTTTAAACATTAATTGTTTTTGAATATTTAAAGAGTTATAGCTTTTATCTAGTAAATATATTTGAAAGCATTTTTTAATACAAAGATTATATAATCAAATTAAAATGAACTCTGAGAAAGCGGTGTGCAAAAATTTGAAAACAGTATATTTAAAATTTTTTAATTGGGATCATATCACAAAAAGCAAGACCTAAAGATTATAACTCTGAAAACAAGAACATTAAATAATAATAACACTGAAATTAAAAATTATCTAATCATAACGCTTAAATGACTATTATTTTTTATGTATAACACACACCTTATAACTTTATTGAAAAAACCAAAAAAAAATCTGCTTATATTTATGAAAGTCTTAACTACGTATATTTTTGAATTTTTCCCATCTAACGGTGATATGTTGACAAATTAACATTAAATGTTGATTTACTACAGTGACATATTGACATATTACAGTGACATTCCACAGTGAACAATAAGGTTTAATAAAAAAGATTCTTGTGAATGTCTAGTGGAAATCTCCAAAGTTTAACACACAATCTCAATGTAACCGCGATAACCAATAAACCCAAATAACTGCGATACTCAAATACTGCATTATGCATTATTTTTAATTTTAGTTTTCTTATGTAAATGTTGTAGTGTTTCATTCTCAATTATAACTATATAATTATAATTAAAAAAAAAATTATACATGTCCTTATCTTTATAAAGTTAAGGACAATCTTTTGCCACCACATTTAAGTTGAGGACGATCTTACATTGCCACAGTTAAGTTGAGGGCGAATAGTTTGTATACCACATGTTCTCATGTTATAAAATCTTTTGTTGAGGTTTTCCACAGTGGTTAAAAGCGTAATTTTAAAATACTTGAATGTATTTGTTTAAGTATTTTTGTCCATTTATATGTATATTAAATTTTTAATTGTTTGTTTTTTATTTTTTAAACGTGGTTTTATTGCGTTTATAATAGACCTTTATTATAAAATGCGTTTATATGCAATTTTACAGAGTTTAATCAACTTTTTGTTTGATCACTTGTCAAGTTTAGAAAAATCTACTCGAAGTATGGCGTTAAAAGTTTTATTTTTAAATCTCAAAACAGTTTTTTTTTTTTAAAAACAAAATAATTTTTCAATTTAAATATCACATCCTAAAACCATTTTTAATGTGGGAATAAATATTTTGTTGTTCATAAATATGCTTTAATTATTTACGCACTAAAAGGTCTGATTCTCTTCAATAATAATTTTTACTTGGTTTTAATAAAAACAGCTATTTAAAATAAGAAGTTAAGTAGTTTATTACTTACTAATAATATAAAAACTTTTCAAGATCTTTTAACAATTTTAGGAGTTTTCTTACTTTTTTATATGATTTCTAAGCATTCTAGATATATATTATGAGCAGGTTTTAGACACTAAAAAATATAACTAATCACTTGGTTTAAAAAAATATGTAACTAATTTAAAAATATAACTAATGTAATGACTTGGATTTGATTTATCGTTAGTACGACCAAAGATATATATATATATATATATATATATATATATATATATATACATATATATATATATATATATATATATATATATATATATATATATATATATATATATATATATATATATATATATATATATATATATATATATATATATATGTTTAAAAAAAAATTGTTTTTTCTTTTAAAATACCTTTTCAATGTGGAACACAGTGTAAAATGAAAAATCTATAAATGCTCATAAGAAATTGATAATTTCTGATGAGTTTTATAGTTAAGTGTTATAGTTATAGATTGGTGTGTGTGTGTATATATATATGTATATATACATATACATATATATATATATATATATATATATATATATATATATATATATATATATATATATATTTAAACAATTTAAAAAAAAATGTATTCTACAAAATAGAGTGTTCAATGTTCTTAAAAGAACAGAGCAATTATAAATTAGTAGAAAATCACTTAACAAACTTTTTTTCAACAAAGACTCGTCAGAAAACGATTTTCTGACGAGTCTTTGTTGATGTTGATTTTCTGACGAGTCTTTGTTGATGAAACACAGTGTGAAATGAAAAAAAAAAATTTGTTAAGTGATTTTCTACTAATTTATAATATATATATATATATATATATATATATATATATATATATATATATATATATATATATATATATATATATATATAAATCAGCATTTTTTAATGTTTGAGATGACTTCCAGACATCAAGCAAAGTCCAAATATTTATATTTTTTGCAAAAAGCTGCGATGAGCCTGGGAATAAAAAAGCCCTAAAACATAAGGTACACCTTCCCGAAATCTCAAACATAAAAAAATGCTGCGTCCGCGTCTTTATTATATATATATATATATATATATATATATATATATATATATATATATATATATATATATATATATATATATATATATATATATATATATATATATATATATATATATATATATATATATAATAAATACAAAAAATATAACATCTTTTTTGTACAAAATAAATTTTAAAAAAGGTTTTCTTTTCAAAATTAATATAGCATCTGAAAGAAAACGGAATCAAATCATTGTAAACCAATTGAAAAAAGAGACTCCGATACAGCCAATTTTTTAAAAGGTAAATCTAGCTATAGTTAAGAACAAACAACAATTTCTGATTTAACATCTGAAAATTTTTAATTTAAACGGGTTGGAAAAAAAAAAAAAAAATACGTAAAACTTTTACAAACAATCACAGTGAGCTCTTTGAGTTATGTTACAAGAGGGTGGCAGGTGTTATAAAATCTACATTAGAAGAACAAACATTTGGTAAACCTTTTATGACCAGAAAGTAAAGTATTATTTTATTGCTTATTATATGGACTAAATAATAGCATTATTTAAAACATTATTTTCATTATTAACAATGATGTTAGGTAATAATAATAAACATATTCAGACTGCAAATATATATATAAATAAATAAATAAATAGATATATATATATATATATATATATATATATATATATATATATATATATATATATATATATATATATATATATATATATATATATATATATATATATATATATATATATATATATATATATATATATATATATATATATATATATATATATATATATATATATATATATAAGCTAGCGATCCGGACCCGTAAAATACGAGTTTTTGTAAATCTGACTTCAATAAGTAAGCAGTAGTAAAAAATAATAAGTAGTTTATAATTATAAATTTTAACACTTTGTTGATTACAATTGGCATAAAATACCATTATTGAGCTTATTATGTTTTTTCTTTATTCAGTTTCGATAAAGTATTTGTTAAACTTTTTCAGACCATTCGCCCTGTCAATTAATTTTGAAGAAAATAAAAGTTTGAATATAAAATTTTTTTCATATAGGAAAGAAAGTTTTCTTCTTAGCGTATGGTAAATGTGCAGACTTAATAAATTACCTAAGCACTTTCATAACACAAGTATCACTATCATGACTTATGCGCAACGAATTTCTCCCTGTATTTTGATTAGAGGTGTACTGGATATTTTTGCCGGATATGCCGGATAGTGAACTTTGGTAAAGTTCTATAAGTGTTTATGAAGAAAAAACAAGTCTTGCCAGTCTACAATAAATAGTATCTAAAATCTTACTTTTAAAAATCAGTGAAAAAACTGTATGACATAGTACATGTGCTGACGAAGTATAGAAAATAGTAATTTAAAATAAATAAAAATTCAGCAATAAAAAACGATTTTTCTTCATACATTATAGACGCATATACCTGTGTTATACCTGTTTTTTATTATTTTTATTTATTTTTAAATCTTGAGCACTATTTAATGTAGAATGGCAAAACTTGTTTTTATTTCATAAAAATTTATAGAATTTAAGAAAAGTTCGTTATCCGGTATATCCGGTAAAAATATCCGGTACACCTCTAGTTTTGATGTTTTTCTCTCTCTTTTGTTTATTATAGTATTCTCTCTCTTTTGTTTATTTTAATTCTCTATCTTTTGTTTATTATAGTATATAATATTCATACATATTTTATGTATATTATATCTATAGAACTTTAAAAATGTTCTATTTTGTATTTTAGAAAATTGGAAAAAATTAAAAAAAAAATTAAGTGCATGCAAAATACAGAAGCGCAGCGTACTAATCATTTCGGCTACTAAGACGTATTATGCTTAATAATTTTATCATCATCAATAAACATAAGACTGAATAACATTATAAAACGACAAATAAATGTTTCTAATCAAAATTAACAAGATGTGGCCGTAATGCAAGTTTCAAGTAAAACTAAAACTGAATAAACTTAATACAAATGTTTACATTACATATTTTGAAGTTAATATAAGTTAGATAATTGCACACATTTTCATTCGTATATAAATATATATATATATATATATATATATATATATATATATATATATATATATATATATATATATATATATATATATATATATATATATATATATATATATATATATATATATATATATATATATATATATATATAGCCATACACATTATCCCCACTAACAATTTGTTATGTTCTTTAGAAGCGACAAAGTAAATCAGCGTGTTATATAACAAATTTTTTCACTAAAAATATTTTACTTTACAAAGGTTTAAATATTATTTGTATTATTTATACATTATGTTTATAGTATTTTGTTTGAAAGGTTTTAGCATATCAATAATGCAATTATAAAAATCTTTTATTTTCTTGTCAGTAAGTAATAAACATTTTGCTTGTTTATTTATTTATGGGGACAAAATATGATATCTGTCTTCATAAATTTAGGAAAGTTCGTGGGTTATTGAATAATACTGTCATGTCTTACTATAAAATAGCAGATATCCTTAGTTCTCAAATTTTCTTATAGCACAATAAAGATAGTAAAGCAAAAAATAGATTTTGGTGAACCTTTGCAATCTGTACCCGTAAAAAAGCTAGTGGATAAAAACTAATCACAGGCCCTAGAACTGACAGAAAAATTTGAAATGTGTTCTTAGAGAACAGGAAATATCCAGTAAATCTGCTGACCAAACAATTAAAAAAAGAAAGTATTGATATATCTCAACGCATGGTGCAGAGACGATTGCAGGAATTTTAACTATGATTTAAAAACGCTCGGAATAGACAAAAAAATGAAAAAACCAATATTTACCAATATTGACTAGAAAAGAGTTACAAAAACTATACCTTAAAGTTATTTATGTTTTATTTACTCACATACTTTGTAATTTGATTCTTTTTTATTTGTTAATCAATGGGATAATTTCAGGCTCGCTTTTCAGAAGAATTGATTTTCTAAACTATAATGGGTAAACAAAGTTTTTTTAGTAGATGAGTGGGAAAGTATTCTACAAAGACTATATTGTACCAACAGTCAAACACCTTAAGTTCGTAATGGTGTGGTCGGTAAAAAATTTCCAGGGTATTGGGCAACTTTAAATTGTCAAAAGTACCTAGTATCGAGATCAATACCGGCTAATTCTTTAACTTTTCTATTGATTCTTCAATGATAAAGAATGAAAATGTACATTTTCGTGCAAGCCCCGTGCCACAAGGACAAGTCTGTAACTTATTACTTAAGCAGAAAAAAAACTAAAGTTTTCGATTATTAGAGAGCTCTTAAATGAAGAAATGACTACAAAATGTGACTAATGTAAAGGAAGAACTTTTATAAGTATTAAGTATTATAAATATAATGACAAAGTAACCAATTGAGACAAATTTTTTGTACATTAGAAATAAAATAAGTGTTATAAAAAAGAGTACGTAAAATAAATATTGATCTAACTTTAGCACTAAAATTACATTTCATATTAAATGTTGGTATGATCAAAGTATGTTAGCAAAAATAATGAAATATGGATGCAAGTTTTTGTAAATTATTTTATTCAAAATTAAAGATGTAGTATTACACTTTTTCATATTATATATTTATAAAATACACCACGTTTCCAAGAATATGTCAAATCTAGCAAATAGTAAACAAATGTACTGATCAAGGGTTGAACATCCATTTCGACACCTCTTCAACTCCTTACATCATATTCTGTTTTATTAAAGATAACTTGTGGACCATATAAACTTTGGCATAAGTATTCATGTAGTGAATCACACTAAAATTTTATAAATAAAAAATAATTATCACAATCATAAAATAAAAAATTATTATTAATACATTAAATGGAAAAAAAGAAAAAAGAATGTGAACCATTGCAATACAAAATATGCTCACCATTAGTTAAAATGTCAGTAATATTACAAGCAATAACAATTTTCTTTCCCCAAGAAATTTGACAACAACAGCCTTTATTATTTTCAACTATTAACTATTGAAGAAATAAGTAAAGCAGTTATTATTAGTTTATACTACTTTAATTTTACAAATAGTATATTTAACATTTTTTAATACTTGCAATACAAAATTAATGTTAAAAACAGTAATAATAAACAGACAGGTCAGAGGTAAACACCATTATTACACAAGTATTAAACAACATTATTAAAAAACATTATTTGGCACAATTTAATTAGTTTAATAATACTACACTAATTTATATTATATTACTAGAAAAAATTTATTATAAAAATATCATATAATATAATACAATAATCATACTATTATAGTATAAAGTTTATATATCATAAGCATATAATAGGGTCATTCCATATAAGATGAGCCAAGCCTTCTCGCGTGACAATGTTTTATTTTCTTGAAAATAAAACATTGTCACGCGAGGTTTTATTGACCAAAAATATTTCTTCAGAATTTCAACTTAATAACAAATAATTTTTTCTTTTAAAATAATTTCAAATATTAAAGACTTAGTCTATTTCAGTGAACTTATTGGTCAATTTACGGACCGAAAATTGGCACAATATACAGAGAATTAAAATTTTGAAATTTTTAGGTATGCATCTTCAATACAAGAAGTATAAATGCAGCATAAACAAATTTGGTGTTTTTTGTGGTGCTGAGATATCTGAACAAAATAGCATTATAAAACTCAAAATTCACTATTTTGAATTTGTTTTATAGCCAATATCTCTAAGAGGGATCAATTTCCATTTTTCCGATTTCCAAATAATTCCTCAAACTAACCTTGAACATTTTTATGATAATAAAAGTTTAATTAAACAAAAATAATTCATGCAGTTTAATACCTTAATATATTTATATTAAATCATTTTTCATAACCAAGAAAATAATTAAACAAATTATCTTTGATAAAAATTAACATTAATAAAGTCAAAAGTACTTTGCATTGCTATGAAAAGATTGCAGAACTAAAATAAACTTTTTAAATAATAAAACTTGTGGCCCAAATCCGCAAATATCTTGGAAACATCCCAGAAGCTGCCCAAAACAAGGATACGTTAAATCTAACAAATAAACAGCCATCAAAATGACATTATATATATTATAATTATATATATATATATATATATATATATATATATATATATATATATATATATATATATATATATATATATATATATATATATATATATATTAACAATAGATGCCATGGCATTTATTGTGAGCAATCAAAACATACCAATCAGTTATGGGCTTCAGAACCAAATATACAATAAATATATATTAATTAACAACCGAAATGCTGTTTTATAGCTAAGTTACTTAGTAAGTGGTAAATACCGTATGTAAATAAATAAGTAAACTAAAATAGTAGAGACATTATAAACAAAAAATCTAATTGCAAAAATCCTTTAGATTCGCGCCATTTTGTAAACATAACGGTTAAACATAACGCTCATACAAATAGTTTTGGGCATAAAGCTTTAAACTTAACATAACGCTAACATAACGGTGAACATAACGCCAAAATTTTCAATTACCGTTATGTAACCGTTATTTTAGCGTTATGTTTTTTGCTGTGTTGGCTTTTCGGAGAGTAGAGCAATTGTTTTATTTTTATAAGCACGAAGTTTTCAAAAAAGAAAACAAAGCTTTTCAGATGTAAAATCTTGGAACAAACTATATTTCAAACCTCTGCATAACGCTCAGCCAGAAAACAGAAAATCTTCAATATTGCATAGTGATAAATCAAGATACCACATGTGTGAAAAAGAATGTGTAGTCTGTTCCCGCTGTAGCATAGAAGCAGTCCTCTGGGTAGCTTATGTTGGTCCAAAAAGGCTACAAAACCCTTTGGGTCACTTTTTAATAGCATAAAGTAAATTATTTTAAAGGGCATAAAGAGCTTGTGAAGTTAAAAAAATTTATATGCTAATAAAAAAAATCTTTTACATTTATATATCATAATTCACAAAATTACATTGTATTAAAGTAAAAAAGTGGGATTAAGATTATACCTTTTACATCCTTCAGGGTTTGTTCAGCTGTAAAAGTATATTTTACATCCTTCAGGGTTTGTTCAGCTGTAAAAGTATATTTTACATCCTTCAGGGTTTGTTCAGCTGTAAAAGTATATTTTACATCCTTCAGGGTTTGTTCAGCTGTAAAAGTATATTTTACATCCTTCAGGGTTTGTTCAGCTGTAAAAGTATATTTTACATCCTTCAGGGTTTGTTCAGCTGTAAAAGTATATTTTACATCCTTCAGGGTTTGTTCAGCTGTAAAAGTATATTTTACATCCTTCAGGGTTTGTTCAGCTGTAAAAGTATATTTTACATCCTTCAGGGTTTGTTCAGCTGTAAAAGTATATTTGCTGCAATGCAGTCTCTTCCAAAGTATTTCTCTTTAGAGGTCTCTAATGCTTTGAGTGAAGAATTGCAAGAACTGGTCATTGTATCCAAGGTGACAGGTGAAAGTTAGGAAAAAACCCATCATGCCTTCAATGTCAATTCACTGCCTGAACAGAAACATAGTTTTTAATAGTAATGAAATCACTAAATACGTTAGTTACATCTTATATCTTTAAAATTCCGTAATAAATCGTAAATCTTTAATTTAATATGATTGATTAAATCGTAAAGTACGTAATAAAGCCGTAAATCGCAGATACGCACGTACTTACTTTACTAAAGTAACTTATTAAACTTTTCTAAATTATAGTTACACTCTTGTACTACACGCACAAGACCCAAACTAAGAACCATTTTATTCTCTGTTTCTTATCTTCGGTTTAACTCACAACTTAACACAACAACTGTTCACAAATATCTTCTATTATTTTCTAAAGCTCAGAAACAAAAAAAATATTTAAGTGGTATCTTCAACGTTGCAGTTTGTTTGTTTGCTAAAAGCTGCATAAAAATTCTTCATAAAATATATCTAATTAAAAGAAAAAATTTTTTAATGCTTTCTAAAGCATTACGTTCAATATCTTTCAAAATAAACCTAATATTAAAAAATAAAATGAAAATAAGCTTTTTAAAATTTATAAATGTAATAATGTTAAATGTATGAGATATAATTTTAATTTGTTACATAATCCATTGTAGACACGGATCCATTTTCTTTTTTATACTTATTAATGTATGTGTAGATATATATTTTTTATAGGTGCAGTGGTTGGCTATCACATTAAGATCACACATTTTTTTCACAAATTATTAAAAATTAATGGTGAAATTCCCATTTGATAAAATAACCCGGAGGGAAATTGGCTAGCGATTAGCTAGTTATAATCGTAACAATGAAGGCAGCAATTTGGCCACGAGGATCGCTAGCTTTTTTAAGTTAGCGAAAAGCTATCGATATTTGTAAAGATAAAGACAGCGATTTGGCTACGAGGACAGCTAGCTTAATTAGCCAAAGTACCACTGGCTATTGTAGCTAGCATCATATCGTAATTAAATCGCTGTTTAAATAATTTTGATATATAGCTATCAACCAGCTATAGATTTGTTGATATTTTGTAGCTAGCTACAAAGCTACGATATGTAACTAGCGGTACACTGCTACAAAATCGCAATGTTTAAAGTTCAATTATTCTCATAATTATTATAGACTCAACACTAAAAATCGAATTTTCAAAGATGTTAAAGACATTAGGAAAAAATAAAATAAGAAAAATAAAATCGCTTGAAAATCGCTATAAAGCTAGCTTGTAGCTCGCTAGTCGCTGGTGAGCTACAAGCTAGCGGGAAATATGGTTTTATTTTTTTGTTACATATCAAGTTATTTTTATTTCATTAGCAAAGTTTAATAAAAATTTTATCAATTGGAAAATAACCAATTTTGTGCATTTTGTCTAATTTAATGTTATTTCTATTTGTTAGTTTGATTGAACTTTCTGATTTATTCTAATTCAAAGCTTGAGTGCTTTATTTAATTTTTTCATTTGAGCTCTTTATTTTCTTTATTTAATTTCATTTTAGTTCTTTAGTTTGATTAAACTTCCAAAGTGATTTATTTAAGTTCAAATCTAAAGTGCTTTTATTTCATTAATTTTTTTTTTGTGAAACTAAAGATAACTAGTTTCTATCTTAAAATAAAAAGTTCTATGGTGTTTTTTTTTTATGTTTAAGTAAAAAAACCAGTGTTTTCATTTTTTTAAGTTCTAAATTTAACCTTCCAGCTATGGGAAAGAAATGGTATATTACTACTCCAACAAAATTAGTCAAATTACATACTTTTTACAAAATACACAGTATACTCAAAGAAAAATTGTAAAGGTTTCTCACCAAGTTGTAATGCGAGTGAGAAAAAAAAATTGATACTGGAGAAGAGTTTGGTGTGAGGAGACCAGCTTCTAAACGTAAAACAACACTAGGAACAGACCAAATCATCCTGAAAATTAGCAGAACAGGAAAAAGACACAAAAAGTATTGACAGAGTTTATTCACGAAGCTGGTATTTGTTGTTTCAGATCGAAATATTTGCAGAATATTCCGTCCTTTTACAACAGTACCAGCTTTGTGAAACTGATTTCTTTCATGTAAGCGGAGTGGGGTTAAAACTATCATCACTGGTCTGTTAAGGATTGGAAAAACATACTTTGTTCACATTTTTATTCATATTTATTTTACAATATTGTATAAACATATAACTTAAAATAAGCATTATTTTTGGTTTGCTTCTTAAATGTCAACCTTTCATGTGGCAAGAAGCAGTACATCTCTACAAAGTGGTTAGGATAACGAGGCAAGACCATTAAGTTCTGAAGAATCAGTTAATTCCAAAAATGGCAAATAAAAATCAAAATAGCAAGTCTAAAAATATTCAAAATCTTATATTTATGCAAGATAGTGCAACTTGTTACACAAAAAAAGTAAAAATGTTTATTTAAAACGAAAAAAAAAGTTGATTTACTGCTATGTCCAGGCAATTCACCTGAAAACCCCATGAAAAATGTTTGGGAACTAGTAAAGCAAAAGATTAGAAAGGAAATTATAATTAAGAAGCAAGATCTTATGAAAATTATTATCAGGATCTAGCACAATAACCTAGAGTCAACAGAAACTATAAAAACGGTAATTGCAAGTTTGCCACAATGCATCAAAGAATTAATTGGCAAAAGCAAA